AAACAAGTTGGTTTTCACAAAAGCAAGAAATGTTCCTGTGGTTTAGTAAACCCCATTTTCTAATATGAATAATTTGCATTCATAGAGACACTAAGCTTGGGACAAAGTTTTTCCTAGAAGCTCAAAATGAGATTTAAATTTCTGTTCCCTATAAAATGGCATGCAAACATACAGATTTTTTTTTTGCCAGTTATTTTTCTCTCTCTTAAAAAAGACTTGCTGGGCCAGCATAAAGCAGGTATTTGTACAGGTTTGTTTATACAGTGACCTCTCCCCTCACACTAAAAATGTCCCATACAGAACACTTCATCAGCTGTCTTTTACCACAAATGCTGCTTCTGTAAATTTGTATATTATGCCCTTCAGGCTCCCAGGAGTGGTGCAACAATCAGCTTTCAGAAAGCTTAACAATTTAACTTGCCAATTTTTCTTTACAGAAAATATATACAAGTTTATAAATCCATGGCAGGGGTATTACAATTATATTAACATCATCTCAGGAACTGGATTCAGAAGATTCTGTAAGGACTCTATGGCTGCTGCTCATTCAACAGTTCTATCAAGGCACTATACAGTCATTAAATCTCTAATATTCTCCAAGATGAGCTGAAGAATATTGTGGATGTGTTTAAATTGTTAAAAAGCCCTGAGTCAGAACTTTTGTACTTACCACAGGCTTAGCTATAAAAATGGCACATAATAAAAATCTGGATAACAGTTTTGCTTTGTCAACACAAGGTATGAAATGCAGAAGACAACAGTATGAATTCCAGCAACTGATACATGAGTGATATACAATGTACACCGTGGCAAATCACACACTTCTTACTGGTTTACACAGTCAGGAAAAAACACCTTTGCAATGTATTCAGACATTAAAAGTGATGAAGCAAAACAAAACTGATGTGTTCCCCACCCCTTCCCCAGGACAAAGCACAACTAGAGAAGAATTCACTCCTCTGACAGAAAGGAGGTAGCAACTGCTGAAAGTTAGGCTGTAGTGTTGTTGGATTTTTACAAGTGAAAACATGACCCCTGCAGCACAAAGAACAGGACAGGCTCTTCAGTTCAACAGCTGCTAATGGAAAAGGAAAACTAAGTTTCTGGCATTTCATTTTGTAAAGGAAGCTCAGCTCACTAGCTCAACACAGCTTCTTCAACCAATTTAGTGTTTACACAAATTGCAATACTGCTAAAAATAATTAGGCATACATAGAGCTTCATGTCTAGAAAATACCTACACAGTAAGTATTTGGATTATTTTTAAAAAGACCATTTCACATTTTTAAAAGAAGCTAAAATACTGATTGTAAGACTATGCTAACAAGGCACAAGGACTTGTGCAAATCTGCTCTATCTTCACCCAAGCCAAGTTAAGTCCAACACCTCCAAACTTTCACATTAGAAGTAACCTGTTTGTTCTCTAGCCAGTGTAATTTTCAGCATCCACTTCAGCACAAAGGGATCCCTCCAAAGCCCAACATACAAGCACACAGCATTTCAACAAATGGAAAGCAGGTAATAACAGCCCAAATTCTGAGCAGTGCCACATGAGCTCAGGGTACAGTAAGTGCTAGACAGCAGGTTTGGGGAAAATAAAAGCCAAACATCATCATACAGAAGTTAAAAAAACTACAAGGGTTTAACATATTCTGTTAGCCTCTGGGTTGTCTTTATACTTTAAATCACTGTGCATGGACATGACTATTTATGGGTTTTACTAAATGGAAAAAGAAATGAAAAGTGTTTTACTTGAACACCTGAGCATGCCTCAAACCTGAACAAGATGTATTATTAGGTGCCTTCTTGACAGTTTCAAGAAACAAATGGAGCTACTTCCTTCAACTTCATCCCAAAACTGCTATTAAATACTGGGGGATAATAAGGCTTGCAACTCTTACATTTTAAGATTTTATGGTGTATTAGGAATAAATTACTTACTGATTTTCCCCTCATTTTCACTTTGCTCCCTAATAATAGTGATGAGAATGAGATTTACACTTCCATCTTTTGCTGAATTGAGAGGCACAGTGCCATGTCCTCAACTCTCCTACTTATGATCCCCTCTGACTTCCAGCTGAGCTTCTGGTTTCCATCCTTCCATCATTTAAGTGTTATCCAATTAAACATTTGTACTCTGTGCACAGGGCACAGGTGACAGCAGACTAAACTGAATGAACTCACTGCTTCCTCAACAGCACTAGCTCACCTTCTGCATCAGAATCCAAGGACAGGGTGTGAATCCACAGATCTAGCTCCACACATGAAACTGGAACTGCAAATATTTTCCATGGTTTTTTTTTTTGAAAGGCAAACCCTGTAGCCTTCCCAACACAAGATACAGCTCCTCCACCTGTTAATGAGAGCCCTAGATTAATCATTTAAGCTTGTTGGCTAGTTTACCTAATTCAGCTAACTGAGGTACAGGTCTGATGCATCACAGGCTAAAACTCAGCATGGATTGACAAACGGCACATTCTATTCTAAAATTACTTTTAGAGGAAGACTGACAGGAAACTGAAGCCTACTATAAAAAGTTTCTCTGTCAAACACACTGAAGAGAAATTAGACTTTATGAAGTGTATTGTCCAGGTACACTCAGAGCTTAAGTGGAAATAGTGAAATGTTGAATTTTCTTACATCAAAAACTTCCCAAAGCTCCTTGATATTTTAGAATAGAGACCCAAGAAGCAAGAAAAAGCAGGTGGATTTCATCTGGCCTAGAAGACAGACATGCAGATTATCTGAGAACAGATTACTACTAGTATACAAAATAGAACAGACTACTGTGTTGACTCCAGATTGAGATTGTGTCCAAATGAAAAGACTGATAACGTTTGCAATTCTGGATCAGGATTAAAGATGGCTCTAGAAAGGCATCCTGGTTTGGGTAGGTTAGGGTTAATTTGCACTAGAAGCTGGGGGTGTGCCTGAGCCAGGACAGCCAACTGAACCAGCCACTAGGTTTTTTGACATCATGCTGACATCATACCCATGACATAAGGGCTGAGAGCATGGGCAGGGTCAAGGGTTGAGTCCCACCAGTTTCCTGAAGTCACTGTGGTCTTTTTCTTTGTATCACCTGCTCCATATATTATTACTGTTACTAATTGCTTCTTTTGCATTGCTGTATTAGATTCTCCTTATCTCAATACACAGGGTCTTCCACATGGTGCCCAGCTCCCAGCTCCAAACCTTGAAGAGTCTGAGTATTATAAGGGCTGAGAGCATGGGCAGGGTCAAGGGTTGAGTCCCACCAGTTTCCTGCAGTCACTGTGGTCTTTTTCTTTGTATCACCTGCTCCATATATTATTACTGTTACTAATTGCTTCTTTTGCATTGCTGTATTAGATTCTCCTTATTTCAATACACAGGGTCTTCCACATGGTGCCCAGCTCCCAACCATGACAAGAGGCTGAGTATTACATCAGTTTGTGATGTTAAATCCACTCTACACACATTTTCCCAATACATCACTGTAGTTACCTTTCCTGGCAAAATCTATCTGGCATTTAAAGCTTACTGGTTAAAAGTTCACCTATTTTGACTGTTTACTAGCAACATTCTTCTGAGACTTTGAAAAATCCTTGCACAATTCAGGTATATCAACAAAAGCTTCAAAGGACTGAGATCTATTTATCTGAAGAGATCACAATTTTATGCCTTTATCCTTAGAATCATAGAGTCGTTTAGGTTGGAAAACACCTTTTAAGGTCACCCTGGATTTTCCTCTGAACTACCCCTTTTTCCACATTTTTGACATACACAATGAGAATGACATGAGAAATTAATCTCAGCTGCAAGTAAGGCACCTAAATGTTTCCAGCATGGATTTCTTTGTTGTTCTGCAGGAGCACACCCAAATAAAGTCTGTGCAATGGCAAAGGGCCACTATGCACTCACAGAGCTGAATCCCTTAGGAGTAAGCACATGTTCCCTTTAGCTACAGAAGATCCTTCAATCAGCACACTTTCCTCCATCCAAAAAGATGGAAGGATGCAGTTGTTATCAAAATGTAGCAGTTTGCAGCTCCTGAGAGCAGCAGGGCTAGGAACAGCTCTTTGCCACATCAGGGGCAGCCTGCAGCCCACCTCAGCTCACCTTGGCATGGCTCACTGAATTCCCTGCTCTGGCAGCACTATCTTCATCTGCAGTATCACCCAGAGAAATTCACAGGCAAGCTCTCCTGTCACACCCAGCTTAGATGAACAAGCAACATTGAATCTTCTCTTTTGCTGTTGATGCTGCTTGCCAAGAGACAATAAACCTAATTTGAGAAGAAATCTTTAGTTTTTCCCAATTCACAGACCCTGAATTTTTAAATGGCTCCACATACATATATGTAAATCCCTCTACAATTGATCAAATTCACTTCTCTGAAAAGGATAACTGACCCACTGCTCCAATGTTTCCCCTCCAGTCAAGATAAAAGCAACTCCACACAAGATTCCTTGGCTAGCAGAATGAAGAAGTTCACTATGTAAGTTAGCTTGAACCTGTTACACTGTAGTGCAGTTTCAGGAATAAAATGTTTCTAAACTAGATTTTTCTTTTAACAGTTTTTTTCCCAACTTGTCCTCAGCAAAAAGGGGCACAATAAAGTTAAAATCACCTATGGGCCTAGTCAGTTTATTACTACTGTCTATACACTTGGTATTGACTTTGCTTTATTGTGTATTTCCAGATAGAAATTATGGTGAATCATAACTCACAAGAAAGTTGAATGTTCTCCAGAAAAGAAAAAAAAACACAAAATAATCCTAAATATTTATATTTGATATTAACTGACAATATAAAAAACCCCTTATATCACTTGACACCTGATACATACATTAAAAAAACATGAACAAAAACAAAATAAGATTGTCCCTTCAAACTTTAAGAAGAAGACAGAATGAAAATGCAAAAAAGAAAAAAAACAAACCAACACCAGCTGCTTTAAATTAGCTTCAGGCTTAGATGTTTAAGACTAAGGCTAAAAGCTAACTGTTCAAATACTGTTCTTATTTGGTGTGTTCACAGTCTTTAAACAACTCCCATGTCATGAACCTGTGCCACAGTATTAGAAATGTTTTCACTGGATCCTCTTACTGCCTTTCAATCTTACAGAGACTTAAACCACCAAGAAGTCCTTACTATTTCATAAGCTAATAAAAGACACTGGTTGCACTGCTTAGTACAAGAGAATCCTTCGCTCGATGGCCTTGCGGCATATGGGGCACTCGCTCATCCTGTCTCCACAGAGCTGGCAGGTCCCATGCCCACACAGGAAGATCATGTTCTTCAGACGGTCCAGACAGACAGGACACATTGTCTGCAAGAGATTTTGACAGGTTACATAGTCAGTGGCAGTACTGACACAGTATAGAACAGACATAAACAAGTTAGGGAAAGTTAACGATAAATACGCCCTCATGGCCCGGCAGATCATTGCCACAGCAAAGTCCAGCCACTAACCTGAAAACTAATCTATATTTTTTTTTTAAATCACATTTTTACCTCACATTGACTTAGAATATTTAG